ACCCGAAGGAAGCACGAGGGCTGGGATACTGTCAGGTTGCCCAAGCCTAGACAGGGGAAGTCGAGTGGCGGAGGTCGGGTTCGAACCACGGACCTTCCGGTCAGTAAATTCGCGCTCTAACCACTTGAGCCATCCCGCTGACCATTGACCATTGACCAACCTGGTATGAGAGACTCTGTGAGTGTCGCGGGACACTCTCCAGTATAGCTCAATGGATCGCTGAGGTGCGCAAACCGTCACACCACGGTAAGGTCCAGTCTCTTCGTGACCAACCTTAGTGGCGCACGTGTTGCCATTTTCCTAGACTGTGCGTCGGGCTTCTATCGGATGGGGTTCGCAAAAGACTCTGGGTCAATCTCGCTAATGGTGCCTCAATTCGACAAGATACTCAGGTGTGTTATTTTTATGCTGTCCAAAGATATAGGCGTCCTAGCCTTGAGCGTCTTTTTTAAGAACATAAGCCAACTTTGCAATAACTCTTTACCGTTACCTTTCCTTCCACTCTTAACTGGGGCTTTTTCTGTCATGGTTGTATGATAGTTAAGCACCGGTACATGTTACTGGTGCATTACCATCAACGATGACGAAGAATGATTCTAACAGCAAAATAAACAAATACAACCCTGGAAATTGTGGTGTTATTGAACGAAAAGAGTACTGCAACTGGTGGGGTGAGTTAGCAGTGGAAGCTCTGGATCAGCAATATGATACAGTCAGAAATTCCGAAAGGGAGTCATGTCAGAGGACTAGACAAATCGATAGAGCCTCGCTCGTTTTGGCTCGTGTCTGTGTTGTCGATCATGGCAGAAATGATCAATCAACAGTAGGAAGTGGGAAGGCTAGAAGGCATAAAACTTGGCCTCAGATTCTCAGAAGTGGTTCGGACACAACGAAGCGGACCAAAAGTTTTGAGAACAATTGCAGAATAACAGCGCACTCACCGCCTAAAACACAGGACGAATAGGCTAGTCTATCTCCGTTTCAACGTAGTTTCTTCGCAAGGCAACCAACCTTTTAAGAAACTTGTCGATGCGAAGTGCTGCTACCATGCAATGACTTCCAGGGGCTTGACAAACCCCACTTGACTGACCGGCTTCTCGTGTCACGACACACTTGTCACGCCAAAAGTTAGCAGCAAACTACGATTGATGGTTGCCGACTCATTTCTTTAAGGAGATCGGGAGATCGAAAAGCAATTCTTGGTTGAATCCGTCATCTGAACGGAAGCCTGCAAAGGGTTTCATAAACCTTGGTTTCGAGTGCCATGTTCGAGATCGTTATGCTCTAACAACACAGTATTAACCAGACCCCGGTCGTCGTACCATACATTTGTGTTGGTTATGTTAAGAATTAGCTAAATTTGTATTTTGTTGTAGAACTGCTAACTTGCTGATCCGAAACATAGCACCTTATCCACTCCCTGCGGAGGGCTCCTGCTCAAGCAAGCAGTCAGGCTTGACCGTAATGCTCCTAATGAGATTGACTTTTTTCTGATACAGAGAAGTGTATTCGGCAGATCCCAGCCATTTCACAAACAGAGCGTTACCCGCCGTTGATGGTAATATATGAAACAACAATCTGACTGGTAGTTCCGGTGCGTTCGAGTCCAAATCCTTTCATCTCGAGTGATTCAAGTTAGGCATGAGTGGACTGGTCATATTTACGCCATTCGTAATTTTTAGGAAATCAAAGTCAATTTTTGGGTAGATATTAACGGATATTGGACGGACATTTTCGCCGATGCCCAAACAACTCAGCAGATTCAGTTTTGCTAACCAGTACACTGCTAGTTTTTTGCCTAACTAGATGAATTTATACTAAGTTCAGCTGCAACGGTCAGTGTGGCAGCACTCGGACGTTAGAGTTGAGTGTTATGCACACTATACACTGTAATTATTAAGATAACCTAGCTCAAGCTTGTTCAAGCGTATCTAACTCTGCACAGAATTGATTCAATTTGCGACAGCCAGTAAGAACATGTGAAAGTCATAAGGGTTCGGATAACCTCCCCGCTGGGTCACGGAAACGGTTAACCTGGAGGATCCTCAAAAGTGCAGTTACTCAAAGAAAAGAAGCCACCTCGCTGAAGCAAACACGATGGACTAACCCATAGCACAACCAGGCTGGCCCACTCACAAGTTTGGTTTGGTGGACAACTAACAAACCTGAGTAATCTTATCTCAATAAACTACCCAAAAAGTGCAAAGCATGAGCGAAAAAGGACAGACAAACTGGAAGCTAAGTAGACCACAAGGATGTTATGCGTGAAATCAACACCTCGCTTGACGCCAGACATAACGATACAAACGTAGACAGTGACGTGTAAACGATGCACAAGCTACAGAATATATCATCACACATACGTGAAAGGCCGTCCATATAAAGTTTCGACTAGACGACTGTATGAACTCCTACATTATTAGCGAAGTCTAATTATGATGAATCATCACACCATAAAAAGTACAGTTGTCTACAACACATACTTGAGTGCTACCCATGACATCGTTGACCACAAGCAGTGGGTCTGCGGCGGAACCTGGATCCGAAATTGTCAGATCTTCAAGTGGTTTGTTACACTTATAGTGTCTGGTGTAAGCACTGTCGCCATATTAAGCTTACTAACTAAGCCGTCTTTGGGTAGTACAATCGCTTGTATGATACATCAGATGCGAAAAATTGTCTACACCAACCTGATAAAGTGCATGTAATGTAGAAAGAGGTGTTTTCGGACTCTACTAACCACTATCTTGACCACGGCGATTTGTGTGCTCTTGTTCATCCCAGGCAGTTCCATACAATCTGAGCCCCAACAACTTTCAACGTCAATCGCCAACAGCAAGCATCAGGAGAGCTCTGACAGTGTCTTCCGTTTCACAAACCGGCCTCAAGACCCGGCTGGTTTTGGCGCCTGGTCTTCCACTGGCCCTGAGCCACATTTGTTGCGCTCGGAGTCACTCTCTGAAGGGGCCCAAAGGCTCCGATTGTCCTCACCGCCACCACCTCCGATTCCACCGCACTATGTGACTCTGGGTCGTCGTCCTGGTGCTCATTCCGAACAGCCCGAACACGTAAGCTGTTTTTCCAGACCCATTCAGTGCACGGTCTACTCCGTTCAGTTTGCGAGTTTCTCTTCGTTTTCGGATTTTGTAAACCACCATTCTTTCTCGTCATTTTACACATCTGCTTTACGCTACGGGGACTGCGATTCACACCACAGCGGCTGATAGCCGAGGCGGTGGAAATTACTAAGCATCATACCGTGAACAGAATCGAGCGTGTGGAGGTGGCGAGCGTATGGAAAGCGGTCTTAGATAAGTCGAGTTGACACGTGACGGTGTGGTTGTCACTCCACTTAGGATCATTAGAAAAAACCGGGGCGTGGGGGTGGAAACCCCAACCGACCAAAGGTCACAGCATCCCACCTACACAACGTTCTTGACACTAGCTCACCCACGCAGACCGATAGAAGGTTCAAACGAAGTTCAAAAGGAACCGTCAAATGAACCAAACCAGAAGAACTAGACTCTAGGCTGAACCCAAGCACATGTAGTTTTCCCCACCGACCCAACATTTGTTCAACCACTCTGACACACTAAAATCCCTCGGCCGACATCCAACAGCTTGACTTAGCTGATTGGTTCTCCTTCCGCCTTAAATCTCGACCAAACTCGGAACCTAGTCATTTGGCCTGACGAAGCTTTTGTGTCAAAAGTGAAACGTTGCCCAGCAATAAATCTACCGATTGTCACCAGACTTTTTCGAAAATGATCAACCGCAGTTTTTTTTAGTCGGGAACTTTGTTTTATTGGTATAAGGGAATGTGTAGTTTCCTTTTGTTGAATGCTTACAGAGCTTATTCAATGTCAGTTCCCTAGCGTGAACTTACTGGCCGGAAGGTTTTTGGCTCGAACCCAGCCTCACCATCTCGATTGCTCCTGTCTAGGCATGGGCAACCTGACAGTGCGAAAGCCCTCGTGCTTCCTTCGGATAGCGTAGCTCCGAAAGCATGTTATACATGAGCGGCTGTATCATTTTCACTGTCTGAGCACGCTGGAGCCCTTTCAATTCTTTCTGCAGACAATCTCTGAGTCAACTGGTCGTGAAATTCAGTCCCATATAGTCTAGACAACGGCCGAATCGCTTGACCGTTCACTTGCTTATTTACCGGAAATCGAATCCCGGGCAAACGAACCAGCAGGTCACCACATACTCTTCGCACTCCAAGTCATCATGAATATTGATCTGTTTCCGGAAACCTACAGTCGAAAATTTTTCGGTTTATCGGGAAACAAAAACCCACTTGCCTGAACGTTCAAACGTTTGGAGCACATTTGGTTCTGTCCTCGGCAGACTATCGAAAGATTCATGTGACACACCTCATTTGCATAGTGGATGGATTTTCGGCTTTTTTCTCCACCAGTTCCCCCTTGTTTTTCCACCTTGACATTTAATTAACGACCTTTTTTGTTCCGACCAGTGAGACTCTCGGGTTGCCCACATATTCAATGACATGGCGAATTTGGTCAACTCATTTTCAACTACTCACCTCCCTGATTCATATGCGTTTTCATATGCCGGATGTCCGTTCAATTTGTGATTTTTGGTTACGCCATACTTCATACTGAAGATGGAGAATCAAACACAATGGGTATTGATATTCTGGTCATTCTGAACACCGTCGCAAAATTGTCTGCATCACTGGCAAACGAACTGATCCAAATCTGGTAAAAACGACTTGGGAACGAATCAGTAGAATGCTCTCAAATTGCGTTCAGCTGTAGCCTAGCTGTCATGCCCAGATAGGGGAAGTCGAGAAGCAGAGCTCGGGTTCGAACCACGGGTCAGTAAATTCGCGCTCTAACCACTGAGCCATCTTGGTGACTTTCTTTTAGAGAACGACTGTCCGAGAAAAACCCAGAATCGTTGCTTCCCGGAGAGAACGGTCACTGGTTTTTGGAACATAATCGTTGGGTCACTTTGGAAGTTGTGTTCACATCGTTTCTTGAGCACTACATGGCTTTTTAGAGGATATACCTCTATTGTTCACACTGCAGGAAATCTCTGGTAGGCAGTATCTTCTGTTGGAGATACCAATATGTCCAAAAGCCGTTTACTTTTTGAGTTGTTGTCAACGTTATTCGCCGAAAATCTGAATTTCCGCACCATTTCAGCCATGTTGCACATTGTTTTCCGAAAGGAATGCGCTGCACTCCTATTGGCCATTTTTTGTTCTCCATGATCGCTCAAAATATTCGATTTTCCTCCCGCTGTGCGTCGTCTTCGGTTGAGGTAGTGTAAGCTCTTCTCCGAAGATCCGGTCTTGTGTCCGCGCTAGGACTGGTTGGGGATTTGTTCGCTCGTCCTCAGGTAGTCATTGATTTTACCCGTTCAGGAGTGACACTTGAAGCCATTGGATGTTGGTTTGATCTCATCCGGCGACTCACGGTTTCCGGTTTCTCTAGCCCTTCCAAGTGCGATCCGCAGGGCAGAAGGGTTCTGGCATTCTCCGCGACCGGCATATGGTTCTTACACTAATTGGGTGTCTCTAGGTATTGACCAGGGGTCCGGTTTTGTCTTGTGCTAGGCGAGACCCACTTTTGACAGCGTAACTTTGGTTGTATCCTGTCATCATTGGGTCAGTCGTAGATCCGTCGCACTCTGATGGCACCATCATCGTTAACCGATACCTATTAACGGCCAAACTACGCTACCGACAGTGTGCCACAATAAAAAAACTGGAACTCTAATTAATTTTTGTTCAAATGCGTTACTATGATGTTTCTACTGAAAACTCCGTGTCTGTAACGCGGTTTTTTTTTAAAAAAACATACCATTCCCACTTTCACCCAGCCCGTTATCTCCGCCCCCGTTAGTCGTGTAAAATCAGAATTCGAGGTTAAACAACGCGCACCGCCTCATCGTCGGCAAACTGAGGCCGGGCAGATTTATTACCCTGTGGGAATGGATCGCTTTTGTGCCCTTCTCAACAGTGCGGCACAGTTAGCGGTTGATTATCACGGAACATTTATCTTCTACACACCATTTTGAGTCGGGATTTTCGACAGCTGTCTGGGTTTTTTGTTCGGTTATCAGTTGAGCTGTGAAGTCGATCTGCTCCGAACAACAAGTGAGTAGACTGGAAATCGCATTCTCCAGTCAGCATTCGAACACTGCAGCATGTAGTATGAACGGCATTCAACCGGCTGGTGTGATGCCCAACTACCAACCAGCACGTTGCACAGGGGGCGAGATGGTTCAGTGGTTAGAGCGCTAATTCACCAACCGGTTAGTTCGTGGTTCGAACCTGACCTCTGCCTCTCGACTTGCCCTGTCTAGGCTTCCTTCGGGTGGCTTGGCGGCTAGACACCGGCAGGGTGCTGAACGACTATTTGCGTCGCTCACTTCGATTACCCTAAAGACTAGTAGGTTGCTCACATCCGATGATTTGTAAAGAGCACTGAAACAATCTTACTGTTTCTACTGGCACAGGTTGATTCCATTTGCAACTCCCAAACCTCCTCGCTGCTTGCAACTACTCAGATTTGCTTCCTCCCGCAATAGACTACTTTCCCGTATAAGTTCAGCAATCTTATGAGTAGTGCATTACAAAGATATACATGTATCGCGATATCTCGAATATCGTAGCGACTGAGGCGGCCTGGTGCAGCACATTCAGTTGCCTGAGAACATCACAAACGAGAGATTCAGCTGGGTTCCAGGTGAGTCTCTTTCGAAAAAAAAAACAAATTAGTTTGCAAATAAGGATATGAGGTTGACGGAAACCCGGGGACTGTGCCTACCTGATGAGCCCCAAAAAGGGCGAAACCGGTCGTGAGCTGTCGGCGGATTTTCAGCAACCATATGAGTAGTACATTACAATAGTCCAAGTAAGTTATTTTGGAATTCACACAAGTCTGGAGTGATGTTTTCCGGTCGAATGTGAGGCTCCCCCAAGCCAGAGAGAAATTTCGATTGTTGCTTACTATAATTTCCGCACGTCCAGTGGTGGCTTGTGTGTAGTTCTCCATGCATTCAGATGAAACAAGTTCTAGTGGTTGTTGGTAGTGTGAGGAGATTTGTCTTTTTCGTGGAGATTTCGTCCTGTAAGTGATCGAAGGATGAGCAGCGCTATATCCTGTCCAAGTGCGAGTTAATCACACTGCTGATCAGCCGCTCGTGGCCGAACGGTTAAGTGTTCAAACTACTAACCAGGAGGTCACGGGTTCCAGACTCTCAGGAGTTAGTGCTGATGATTCCCAATAAGGATGAAACAGCTGTACAGTGCTTTTCAGCATAGAGTGGCTTTAATTGTAGGACGAAACCGCCACAAAAAAGTTCTAGGGGTGTTACAGAATATAGGTAGCTCAGGTGCGCTGATTGGCTGTTAGTCTATTCACCGTGTGTGGCGGTTGGATTGCAAAAGTCTCATCTCCAAACGAGTTGATATTGTCATAGCTGGGTTAAGTGGGTTGAGTTCTTTTGAAGCATGTCAGGCTGTTAATGAGAGAATCTTTTGGGGTACTTACGTTTAGTTGGAAAAAATCGTTCAGCTGTAGCACCCTTTCGGTGCCTAGCTGCAAAGCCACACGAAGGAAGCACGAGGGTTGGGATACTGCCAGGTCGCCCAAGCCCAGACAGGGGAAGTCGAGAGACAGAGGTCGGACCTTCCGGTCAGTAAATTCGCGCTCTAACCACTTGGGCCATCTCGCTTACTGGCGAATGAGTAGTGTCCGAAATGCTAGAGAAGACTGCTGACTGATTTATTTATTCCATGCCATTTCAGGATAAGATTGCCCTAGTCATCAGAAACGTTTTTCATTGGTCGGCACTGCCTCCTGGTCAGTCTGATCTCAGCTCAAGTTTGTCCTCGACATGGGCATGTGTGCACTATCTTGTCGAATGGATGCTCTCCTGGCACTTCGATTGTGAATTTGGCATCCAACGTGCAAAGTAGAAATAATTGGAAATTTTCACTCCGAACGAAACGACCAAGCCACAATCTAATGAAGGATATGAGACGACGTGGATGTGAAAGAGGAACTATACCTTTTGGGCTGTTTCAGATTTCATCAACATCAACAACTCAGTTTAGTCGTGGCCATTATCATTGTCAGCTGTACTAACCGCGTACTCGTCGTACAGTGGTTGCAGCTGGCACGGTTTCGCTCACCGATTATTTGGGGAGATGGGGTAGGTAGCTCCGCATTGAAGGTGGGAGCTGATAAATTAGTGCGTAAATACGGCACTGTCAGTGGACTGTCAAGTGAGTGGGGGAATTGGGAAGGGAGCTATGCATTGAAGGGAATAGCTTGAGCTGGCATCGCTCACCGATTATTTGGGGAGATGGGGTAGGTAGCTCCGCATTGAAGGTGGGAGCTGATAAATTAGTGCGTAAATACGGCACTGTCAGTGGACTGTCAAGTGAGTGGGGGAATTGGGAAGGGAGCTATGCATTGAAGGGAATAGCTTGGATGCATGCGCGCCACTGAGGGCGCGACTGGGCCATGTCTGACAATGTCTCTAACCATTGATGTGGACCGCCTCAAGTTGCGCAGCTTTCTCAGATCCACTCTACTCCCCAAGAAGGCAATTCCCTTTTTCAGTGCTAGTCAAGTTGTATAACTCTACCCCTTTGGGTTGGACGTTCAAATTTACATCAACGTTCTGGACAGCCAATCGCCTCGAGTGGGCTGTACGTGTTCTCAGTTCATGTATCCTCCCTATGTTCATATGAGCAAGCACTCCATTCTAATACTACTCCCGTTGTAACTTAAAAACGTACGGCAGCGAAGCCTCAGTATTGAGCACTGACGTCATGCTAGTGATGACCTCCAACGAGGTGCTGAGCTACATGGTGTTATCTTCGTTGAAAATAACACCAGTCTCATGTGGATTGCTGGTGTTCTGTTCGAACGGTCGGATGTAAACAATAGCCTCTAGAGAACAGCTTATCCCTCATTTTGTTGTCGTCCGTTTGTACTTTTCCCAAACTATGCCATCCAATATTATAGTCCGCTCTTGCCTCTCTCATCCGCTAACCGGAAACGCAATCTTGGCTCTGTTCCAGAAACCAGACGTATCCGCCACATCGATACCCACAAGTCAATCAATGCATGATCGACGTTCATTGGCAATCGCCACCGGGAACCAGTGTTTCGTTTCTCAACGCAGCACTTCACCCCATGCAGTCGAAAAAGATCGGAAGAATATAGCACATGCGGAATTTTTGCCTGACGATTTCATTG